TTTGTCCATATTTCACACGTATTTGTTTCTGTCCTCTGTGCCATGTGCAGAAGTTAATGGTAAAACATAGTTCTTGATCTCCATAACATACTAGCAAAACTAACTGTTAAGTAGTTATTTGGCTTCATATAAGTATGACTATTTTAAGAGATCCGTATAAGAATAGCTAGATATCCTGGAGTAGATAGATGAGCAGGGACAGGATGGCGATGGCACAGAGATGGCAGTGAACATAGCTGAGGACCTGGAGCGATCTGATGAAAAGTAACAGACATTAAGCTCCATTAGGAGGGATTTAGGAGAATGTAAGACTGGATGATAGGAAAGAGAGAATCAGTGAAGAGTTTCTGGCAGAAAAATGACTTCAAGGAATTGAAATTTTAGGATGATTAATCTGACAGTGGAGAACAGAGGGCAAAAGATTAAAATTAAGAAGGATTTACTGTAAGCCAAATATAGGATAACGAGGCACTGCGATGGGGCAGGTGACTGTGAAAACTAAGAGCAGGATTTGATGACCTATGAGGGGCAATGAGGAGGTGAGTTTCAGTGGATGACTCTGAGACGATCGATAGCTAGGAAGCAAGTTCTGGAAGTGCAGCGATCTGTTATTCACCTCACTTATGGGAGTGTAAAATATCAAAGCCATCATTTTATATATGATTCAAAGTTCCACTACCTCAGTGACTTACTATTGGAAGAAGGTTTTAGAATGTCACTTTGCACCTCTAAAAAAGACCCATTGTGCTTTGTTAGTTTTTAAATGTACTTTGATTCATTATTTCTAATTAAGAAGAATATATACTCCTTGTAAAAAATTTGAAAATTTGGAATATACATTAAGCATTTCTGCTAGTCATAGAGAACAGCTGCTGATATTCTGGCATTTTTTTTTACCCTCTTTGTGAGTGTGTGTGCCTGTGAGCATGCATGTGTGAGTGCACTAGGGTCACATAGTTTTTCATTCTATGTCTTTCTAGTTAAAATTATATTTTGAGCATTTCCCATGGTGTTTCTATATGGGGGTATGCGAGAATTTATTTAACAGCGCTCTATTTTCAACTTTTAGATTATTGCTATCTTGTCATTTTCTTTAACGCTCATCCTTGCACATGAATCTTTAATCATACTTTTATTATTTTCTTAGGTATGTATTAGTTTATAACTTTTAGTAAATATTTCCAGATTGCTTTCCAAAAACACTGTATCAATTTAGAATACTGTATCAGATTGTAGATGTGAGCCCTTGTTTTACATCGCTTTGCTGGCATGAAAAATATATTAAAAACAAAGTTAAAAAATTTACAATATGACAGAAAGAAAAGGAAAATATTTTTGTTTCAATTTTCTTTTTTTGCTTGTGAAATTAGTTTGTCACGCATATTGTAAACTCATGTTTTTAAACTACTTTGAATTGTTAGTTTTGCTGCTATTCATTAATAAGTATTTTATATCTTAAAAATATTAGTTTGCCTTTTATTTGCAAATATGATCAAATGAGTTATTTGTATTGGGAATTTTCTGATGATTTTAATGTTTTAAATATTTTTGTAGCGATTTCTTTCATTGGTTTTACTCACGAAATTTGTACTTCTTATCAAGATTAGTTACATATGGATTGATATTTTTCTTTTTATGATATTCTTTTTAAATATTTTAACTCATTACTCTTTTAAAATATATTGAGTGTGTAATAATTCCACAAGAATTTTTTAACATTATTTGTGATGATTTTATTATTACGTATTTTATTATAGAACACCAGAATCTGTTTTGTTTTTAACCTTTATATTCCAATGGTCCATCTGACAATCTGACAATTCTTATCTAAATACCACACCGAATAGCTTCATTATAGGTTTACTATCTTAGGGAGTGTATAATCACTATAAACCTATAGACATTTCCAGCTGTGCATTCTCATAGACGTGCTTCTTTAGAATCGTTTTGTCAATTCCTTCCATCCTACTTTTCTTCCCCACATGTATATATCTCCTTCTATTTTGGTTTTGTATAGCATAAAACCTATTGCTCTGGAAATAGTGAATTGTATTTTCAGAGACTAACTATAAAGGAAATTGTAATATGTTATGTATATTTTTTTTCTTCAAAAATGTACTTCGGAAAGTTCGAAGTGAAAATGAACTGAATTTTCAGGCTGACTTGGAATACTGAAAGTGCTTTTCTAAATTTATGAATGTTTTTAAGATTGTCATTATAAAAATATCCATTTCTACATAGATCTAAAAGATTACTCAAATATAATGTTTAAATTGATAAAAATATTATATATTAATGTTAAAGTGGGTTACTTATTTTAGTAAAATGAGGTTTAAAAATTGATGGGAAATCTACATAAAGTCTTGATAACGGAAGAGAAAATCCAATATAATAATTAGATAAATGCAATATGATTTTATTAAGTTGATAAAGAGTGAAGAATTTTATATATTTGAGACTGAAATATGGATCTTATTTGTAATAAAAGAATAGGGCAAACTATTAGAACCATTAACTTTATTTCACAATTATTGATGTAATTATGTCATAAGTAATAGTTAAATCTCAGATTTTGTCAGGGAGATATAGAAGGATGGACATCATGGCTTTCAATGAAGGCAACCACTTTATTATATCTACTTTGTAACTGGCCTTGAAAGTTGATGACATCAACGTCAGTGATACTGGAGAATTTGTTTTTTTTTTTTAAATTAGTAGGCACAAAGCCTAATAAATAGTCCAGATATAAAGAGCTTCATTATTCTAAATAATATTCTTATAAATTGATTTAAGAAAAGCAGCTCTGTATTTCATTTTATTATCTCTTTTTGTTAACCATTTAATAGCTTAGAAACATGCCATGCAAATTTAGTCCATTCAAGGAGAACTCTGATAGGATTTGTTGTTAATGTTAGTCATGGAAATAAGCCAGAGTCTTCATAGTCAAGTGTGCAAAATAAACAGACTGTGAATTTAGGAGAGGGATAAAAAGCTTTAGATCTTTTGAGAAGCAAGCAAGGAGTATAGGAAAATTCAAAGTCTACAACTGGAATTTTTTTTTTCTTTACCTTACTAGATTTTATGGGGAGTAATAGAGTAGAGGTATTGTGCCATAAATTATGTTATTTTATATTATGTTGCCATATATTGGACATAAATCTAGCTCAATTTTTCAGTGCCCTTTTAAATACTTAATGACCAGAAGCCGGAGCAATGGATTCATGCTCGTAAAAATAAAAGGAAAGAAGGAAGGAGAAAAGGAGACAATGAGGAAAGGAGAAAAGGAAGAGAGGAGAAAGGAGAATTTGAAATGAGCCAGTCTTCAAAAATGATAGAAGTAACGTGTCTAAATTTCTATATTTTACTCTAGGTCAAAGTTCCATTTAAACCCACAAATAAGGAAAAAGCATCTGTGTTCTTCCACATAACCCTGATTTATTTGTTGACATTAGGGCTTGATCCTTCTTTAGAACCTCTGCATATGATTTACCGTAATTTTTAGGTTGGCTAACACCATCGAGACCAAACCAGTCCAAGTGTTAGCTTTGTGGGTATCAATTCATAATGGCCGATGAAGGGAAGTGCATGTTATTAAACGTAGCATGTACAAATTTACTTCTTGTCTTAGTTTCCTGGGGCCGCCATAACAAATTACCAGAAACATGGCAGCTTAAAGCAACAGAAATGTATTCTTTTACAGTTCTAGAAGCCACAGCCCCTCCAGAGGCTCTATGGGAGAATTTTTCCTTGCCTTTTCCAGCTTCTGGTAGCTCCAGGCTTTCCCTGGCTTGTGGCTGCGTAACTCTAATCTCAGTCTCTGTCTTTATACAGCCTTCTCTATGAGTTTGTCTTCTTATAAGGACATTTGTGTCTCATAAGGACTTTTGTCGTTGGATTTATAACGCACCCAGATAATCCCAGATCCTTAACATAATTATATTTGCAAAAAACCCTTTGGTATATAAGGTTACACTCACAGGTCCTGGGGGGTTAGGGCATGGATTTATCTGTTGCAGAGCCACCATTCAACTCACTTACCTGTATGGGTCTTGAGGACCAGATGCCTTATAGTGAGTAGATATACCCCAAATTAATTTCTCCTTACATATTTTTGTGAATTTACAGTAACCTGTTAGTGAAGAACTAATGAGAGATGCAAAAATTCTATGTAAATTCTACACACTATCAGATATAGAAAACTATTTTCATTTCTATTGCATCGTAAAGATCTTGGCTTCTAATACTAGCATGCTTTTTATTGGAAGTGAGAATAACAAAAACCCACAAAATAATGAATTCTAAATTACAGTTTCTAGCCATTGTATCTTATATAATTGTTTCAATAATTTTTAAAGATTCTGCATACTTATTTACATACTTATATTCCATAAGTATGTAAATATAAAAATAGATTTTAAATAATGAGAAACATCTTAGCACATATCCTAAGTTTGTACAAAGAAAAAACATTTCCTATAGAGAAAAACTAATTTATTATAGATAGGTATAAATATATCTATGTATTTATAAATATATATTTACATGTATAAATAAACAAGATGGCATATATTTGCCATTCACACTATAGTTCGAATATATTTCTATGCTATTTAGATTTTTTCCTATCTTTTGGGATGTTTTAGTACTCAAAAATGCATAAACATTTTACAAAGTATCACTTCGAAGGATATTATCAAATTTTTATCTCCACAGAAAATCGCTTTAGTTAGTCCTACATAAATTTGTCTATGGAAATCTGAAGCCCGTGGTGTCAAACAATAAGCACATGGATAGTTGTAACAGAATACAGTTCTGGCGCGTTGCTATAATTTGTGGAGCAATGATTTTTTGCTCACTGCATTCTTTTCAAATACTCTATTCAAACTCGTCTGCTCTCCTCATAGTCTGTGTCATTGTTTCTGTCTTTACATGCCGAGAAATGAGACATCAGAGAGAAACTGATTTTTCCATCCTGTAATCACTGTCTTTATAGTCACCAGTCTTTAATCTTTTCCACGTTAGGATCATATAAGGAAAGAGAAAGTTTCCATCTCTTCCTCATTCCAGCATAAAATATCTACCTAAAAATAGCTTGGTCTTTTCTGTCCTGCAATTCCCTTTTCCTCTTTCTCCACACAGCCACACATCGTTGGTCATACTCTTGAGTCATATTTATAAACATTCGCAAGCTCTTTTTTTCTCTTTATTCTCACGCAACCGATTCACACTATGAACTTTGGGTTTTATTTGGGTGTTGAATAGGCTGGAATGAATAATTGTGAACAGTGCTAGACAAGAAATAACAAGCTGAATAATCCAAATGAATGGGGGGAATAAAGGAGTTTATGATAAAAGTTTTCTCAAGTTTCAAACAAGAAAATATTTGTATATATGGGATTTTCAGTAAAATATAATTGTATTTAGCTTAATAGCTTGTGAAGCAAATGCTTGAATATACATTAAAGTTTTTGTTGTTCCATATTTTTATTTCTTTGTAAATGGCTTAAAGAGAGAGTTGATCGATTTAAAATTCACAACATTCCAGAAGCATAAAGACTAGTAAAAGTTCAATGAAGAGTATATTTTTCTCTAAATGTAAAGTGCTATTTTAAAGTGCTTGTTTTCTTAAATATAAATTACTGACTTTTAAAAAAATACATTATCTCATTTAATACAGCAATACTAAGGAAGATAGTAGTATTAACCTTATTTAACAGTGGTAGAAAATGAGATGCTGAGAAATAAGAAACAGGTGAAATGTAGATGAAATGGACTTGAGAGTCCAAGATTTCAGGGATAATGAACAACCTGGTCCCTGTTTGTTTATTTGGTTTGTTATTGTCACTTATGATCCTCATGGTACCATTAGGGGAGTGTCGCTGCATACTTCAGCCCCGCAAATAATTCTAACAGCATTCTTATGAGAGATGTATTATTATTACCATCCTTCTTTTATATTTGAGGCTATTGAGTATGGAAGCATTAAGAAACATGCCCGAGGCCCGCAGCTGGCGTTTTGACTTTGACTCAGACAATCTGGCCCCAGCATCAGTTTATTTGTCCTGCTTCCCCTTAAGCTGAATATAAATAGAAATAAGCTTGATTCACTACACCTCTCCATATTGACTTGTTTTCTTATATTAAATTTTTAATATTTGTGTGTGTGCTTACTCACTGCCTTAGTCAGCCTTGATGCAGAAACAAACTCAAAATCTCAGTGGCTGACAACAAACATATATTTCTCTGTCAAGCTACACATCAGCAGCTGCAAATGAGCTGCTGTGGTTCTGTCCCATGTGTCCTCTCATTCTGGTGGGGACGCAAAATCTTTTTACCAGGAAGGGGGCTACTATGTGATAACAATCACACAATCTGCCAGTCCCATTAACTAAACTCATGGTACCCTCTCTATGGCCCACTCTTGGCTATTACTTATGTAATGACAACATGCTGAAGCCAGAAGCCTAACCTTTTTTCAGAAACAGAATGGAGAAAAAAAGCCAATTCAGAGAAACTCAAATATTTTTGTATACATAAAATTTATTATTGTAATTAGTTGTGTGGAAATGATAAAAATTCAGTATAGAATGTTCTTCATTCTGCTTCCTCAGATTCTTTGACTCCTTAGGGTTAAAAAAAGATTCACATGGCTTAGAAATGCCCAGAATTTGTAAAACTTTTTTCCTATAGCAATTACATCAACATAATTTCATTTAGTTTAGTTCATCAATAAATTTTCCAGTGCACTTCCTCAGATTCTTTGACTCCTTAGGGTTAAAAAAGATTCACATGGCTTAGAAATGCCCAGAACCTATAAAACTTTTTTCCAATAGCAATTACATCAACATAATTTCATTTAGTTCAATTCATCAATAAATTTTCCAGTGGAGCTAGGCCAGAGCCGAAAGTTAACAACACTGAGCAATTTTTTTTTTTTTTTTTGAGATTGATGGGCTTCTTGAGAACAGGGTCATTATTCATCTTAGCAAGGAACATGCTACTAGCTCATAGTAAACACCTAGTAAATATTGAATGATAGCCAGACTGGCTGAACAAATCAAGACTGAAAATTCCCAAATGCATCTTTCCCTCTTCCACAGGAACTTCTACTTGCAGAAAAATGGGCTAAAATGAACAAGCTTCCCTTTCCAAAGATTGACCCTTATGTGTTTGATCGAGAAGGACTAAAGGAGTGTTATGTCTTTAAACCCAAGAATCCTGATGTAGAGAAAGATTGCCCAACTATCATCCACTTCGTTCTGGCCAACATCAACTTCAGAAAGTACAAGGCTCCAGGTGCGTTGGGTATAAGTTGTTTTCTATAAAGTAGGAATCTGGTAAAGGAGCAAGACCAATACTAAGCTGATACGCACTGGCACTTGCTGTATCAGCTATTACAATTTTGAGTGCTTCCCTAACCTTGGCAAATAGCTTCTATCCTGAGACATCCAAGTATCCCCCATCTTTCTCACTCCAACATCCCCTAGGTCCTTCACAATCTAGAATCTGGAAGGTTAACTACTAGCTTGGTAAAAGCAGATCTGGGGCTTTACTCCAAAACCTCGAATTATGTTTGTTCTGATTGGTTGGTGATCTTATCGTTAAGGTTGTTAAATTTTGAATATCACTATTGTGAAAGGAGCCCTTGTTTCAGAACAAATCATGCAAAAGTTCTGGGAATTTTAGCTGACTACAAGATGAATGTAATCTATCAGTACAACATAGCTGGTAATTTCATGTTGCCATGTTATATTTCATAGAAAAAGAAAATTAAGTTCAAAGCACAGTCATCCTGCTGTACCATCTTCAATATCCTGGAAGATCTAGAGATTAACAGGCAGAATGCCAAAGGCCTAAAAATCATTATTTTAGGACCAGAAAATGTAGTCGTAAAAGGAAAGACTCAAAAAAATAGAAATGGAAGATTTGACAGGGGACTATGGAGAAGAAAGTCATCTTTTTCTAGATGGCGGAGCAAGACAGAGAAAGGATCAATAGGGATAGAAGTTATTATAAGTCGTACTTCAAAATAAGAGAAGAAAGGATTGGCTGTCATTTTTAGTCATCGGACAGTAAAATACTCGAAACCAAGAATTTTCTATCACTGTTAATTCCCAAGAGGCCGTATAGGGGATTTCTATGTCATGACCACAATTAGATCATGTTTGGTGTGGGTTCCCCCAGAAGCAGACTCCGAGCAAAGGATTCAAGTGCTAATGGTTTATTTGGGTGAACTAGAGAATTTTAGTAAGGAAGGAGGAAGTGACAAACAGAAGGAAGGCAGAGAGCAAAAGATGTGTTCATGAGCTAGCTGCTTGATCCTGTTGGGAAACTAGGAAATGGAATAGAACCTGGGCTCCAGAATCATCCTGCCCACTCACACGGCAAGAGACAAGGGAACTGGGGAATTTACATCCTAACTCCCTAGCTGCCTGGGGTGGAGTATTCTTTACCAGGATTTCCAGCCAGCTGCTAGTGAGCAAAGCAGGCTTCCACAGTTGCAGACAGGGGTAGGAAGCCCTTTGGCACAGAGATGAGGATACTGGCAATTGGAAGTTGCCCAGTCAAAACACACAGAAATCCCCCAGGGAATGTGGAAGGGGGACACAACAGTATTACTACAGCTTACAGTGACCCCAGTGGAGACTTCCAATGTTGTATTTATGGCTATTTGTATGTTTTATTCCCTGGGTTTTAGAGCTATTTTGTAGTGTTCAAAATAACACTGTTTGAGACTCTTCTGATATTTAGGTGTTCCAAGAGAAACTACAGAAGAGAAAGAAATAGCTGATTTTGATATTTTTGATGACCCGGAATCACCGTTTTCAACCTTCAACTTCCAATATCCAAATCAAGCATTCAAAAGGCTTCATGATCTGATGTACTTCAATACTCTGAACAACATCGATGTAAGTATGTCCTACGATTAGTGACAATGTCAGATATTTCATATCACGTAAACATAGCAACACCTCTTTTTAATTAATTAAAAATAAGGTTTATGAATGACACCACCCAAATTGTACCATTTTATTTTTCATGAAATATTTTGTTAATCTCCAGGCGAACCCTATAAAATTCACAAATAAGAAAACTAATGCCTCCAAATTGGCAAAGCCTACATTTTATGCTATTATTTGTTTGACAGATTGGTTGGAACTTAGCTTCTTTCCCAAAGTACCTAATGTATTTGTGATATGATAAAATAAATATTAGAAGTAGAAAGTGATAAAAAGGAAAAATAAAAGTAGGAAAGTGAATATAACCAAACTGTAGTTAATCTACAAAAATACCATGTGTTTTAATGGATACACTCATGCTTTTTAAATGTCTTTATTTTTATGGATCTTGGGAATATCACCCAAAGTAGCAGCCCTCCTACCCTGTCTCTGACAGCCGCATGCTTCTGTCGCTTCATTTTCCCCAGAGATCTTAGCTAGCCTGCTTTGCCAACGCTAAATTCCAGTTCATCTTTAGAGAACGACTGCTCTGTTTGTACTCACCTCATGACAGCAGCCCGGGTTTGTCATTAGCATCAGGATTCTGCACTTACTCGATCCTCCCAAATTCTTGTTCACTGAACATTGGCCCAATGTTTTTCCACTGGCAGTATTTCATGTTTGTTTGTTTTGTGAGAAACCTAATATCTAGTCACTTACACTGGTAGACGTGTGGTATGTGAGAAACGCAGCGGCTTTGGAGTCAGACCTAACTGGGTGGTCACACCCTCGCTTGCTGCCTCTTGGCTGCATGATGCTGGGCATGTTGGCTAACCTTTCCACATTTAACTTTCCTCATTTGTAAGAAGAAGCAGCGATACGTGTCTTATAGATCAGGGTGAGGATTAAGTAAAATAATATAGTTTAAGAGCTTGGCATCTAAGAGACAATAAATTGAAGCAGCTAATATGTGATGATAATATTATCTGTGTTCTGACTTAGCTATCACAGGAAAATGTACTGTTACGCACTCTCACTCATTCAATCTATTAATTCAGTAAATGTGTTCTAAGAACCTGTTGTGTGTTAGTTTATTCGGCATATGCCAATGATGCATAATAAAAAGCTTTTAAAATTTGTTCTCAAACAATTTCATAGTGTTAAATATTAGATGTTCATTAAAATGTGGAAAAGCATATATCCAGAAGTACTGGTACTTAATTCTTAATTTATTGGTATTTTATCATCATGATAAGTGTGTCTAGGTACGAGTTTAAGTTTTTATCTTTCTAAAAAAAATAACTAGAAGCTTACTAAGTATCATAGCCTAATACCTTGGGCCCCGATTCCTGCACCTTTAATGCTGTCTGTAATCTCTTTCCATCTTATTTCTTCATTAACTCATATTTATTGAGTATCTACTGGACCAAGCACTGTTTTAGGAACTAGGAATATAATAATTCACAAAACAAGAGAACAAGAAAAAGTTTTGAGTGCTTAATATAAGCTAAATATTTCCCCCTCCAATATTTAACATTGAAAACTATCCTATGAGGTAGATATTTTTATTTGCGTGTGAGGAAACTGAGTTATGTATTATTTAGGCAGATTGCTGGAAGTCACACAGTTATGTGAAGAGCTGAGATAGCGCCACAGGTTTTTTCCGCTCTTTCCTAACTTTTGACCATCTATCTCTCAAATAAGCACATTTCCTAGTATTCTCCAAAACAGCCTCCTCTCCAACCAGGCCAATTTCCAGATGTTCTCTAAACATGGCATGACCCTCTCTCTTCAGCCTTTTTATAAGGTTCTCCTTCTACTGCCGAGAATGCCTCCTCTTTCCACTCTGTTTATAAAATCCTGCTTGTCCTTCGACTCGAATCAAGTCTTATTGTCCCTATGATTTGAACTTTATCCTGTTTAATTCGACCTATAATAATAACCTTCTGTGCATTCATTAATTTTACAAATATTTATGGTTCCCCTACTGTGCTTTAAGTGCTGGGATCAAAAATGACAAGACTTACAGAGTCCCTGTTTCCATGACATTTTGGGTTTTATTGGGAAAGCAGGCATTAGCCAGGAAATTCACAGAAATTTAGGTCAGTATATCTTCTTGTATTTTTCTATATTTGTAATTTTTATGTCTTTCTCAAAATATACTGTAACTTCTTCTTTGGGATCATTTAAAATTTTCTCTTGTGGGAATTCAATATTTGCTTGTGGATGGCTTCCAATCTCACATTTCCAAATTTGTTCTTTTTTGAGAGAAGATCACATTTTACGTTTTATTTTCTTATCCTCTCTTTTTACTGCCAAAGATTTAAAGGTTATGGATCAACAATGAGGAAGCTATTGAATGGCACAAGCGAAAGATGACATGAATCATATTTAGAGATGGGCAGTGGGGACGGAGAAGTTTGAGATATGAGGGCTGTTGCTAGGATAAGACTGATGGGAAGGATTTGGAATCTCAATGAATTTCAGGGGAGTATGAAAGAGGAAATTAGATACAGACACTACTTAAGAATACTCCTAATTAAAAAAAAGAAAAACCAGGAAGATTCAAATATGGCATCTTGCCTTTGTGGATACATCTAAATGTATCATGCTGGAAGCTTTGAATTTAGCAACTGATGTACTGAGTTTAGCTCTACTATTTATATTACAGAATTATATCACAACAAATCAGTATTTTTTGCAGTAATCTGTAAAAACCTGGTTAATGGTTTTATAGTGTTAATATGCCACCTAGTGGTTCAACTTGCTTATTCCAATTGCATTTAATTTGAGTTTTTCAGAGTTATAAGTATAAATATTCATTTTCATTTATAAGAATGGCCTGTTTACTAGAAATAGCTGCCAAAGTCCAATTATGGTAAATATTGCTAGTTATTGATATTGACATTGATGATTTTTTGTGGTCATGAATTCATTATGAAGTAATCGATAGCAGTCATCAGTATAATTTCCACTGTGGTCTTTTATATTTTAAAGCTTCTTCCGTGTTTGGAAAGTAAATAGCTGATTTTTTATTTTACTTGGGTACTTCTCCGTAATGAGGGTTATTGTGTCTCATGATTATGTGGTGAAAGAGAAACCAACTTAAAACTTGATGGCATGATCTCTAGAAAGGTGGGGAAGTTATTAAAAGAAGATGCAGAGGGCACGTTTGATCACAGAATTAATTTTCTGACTTTTACCAAATAACAAGCCCACGATTGGCTATATATGGTGGGTTCTTTCTAGTGAACTTTCTAGCCTCACATCCTGAATTTCCTCACAGATGGTCAGTTTTAAAATAGCAATAAATAGATACTACTTATGGAATGTTTCCTATATGCCAGGTGTTGTCAAAGTAGTTTTTACAAATGATGTCCAATTCCTACAAAATCCAAGATTAATATTATTATTCCTATTCTAAAGAAGGGGAAACATGCTCAAGGATTTAAGCTAAACTGCCCTTGATCTCACACAGCCAAGAAATGGCCGTGTCTGGAAGCCCAAAGCTTCTTTTGTCGCTATAGAATTATATTTCCCCTACTCATAGGAAAAATGGGGTCGGCAAATTTCTGCTT